TACATCAGAAAATACATTCTGGTGTGAGACAGTACATGTGCTTTGAGTGTGAAAAGACTTTTACTACAGCAAACTGTTTAAAACCGCATGAGAGGATCCACACTGGAGAGAAACCTTACAAGTGTTCACACTGTGACAAGAGATTCATTCAGTCAACACATCTGAAAACACACGAGAAGATCCACACTGGAGAGAAACCATACACATGTGATCAGTGCGGGAAGAGTTTCACACAAAAAGGACACCTTACAGCACACATGAGCGTTCATACTAGAGAGAAACCGTTCTCTTGTGATCAGTGCGGGAAGAGTTTCACACAATCATCAAGTCTTAAGATACACATGAAGATCCACACTGGAGAGAAACCATTCACTTGTGATCAGTGCGGAAAAACATTTTTGAGAGTTTCATACCTGAAAACACACCTGAGAGTTCATACAAAGGAGAAGCCACATTCATGTTATTTGTGTGGAAAGAGTTTTTCATTACTACACTATTTGAAAAAACATCAGAAAATTCATACTGGTGTGAGAGAGTACATGTGCTTCGAGTGTGAGAAGACTTTTACTACATCGGACTCTTTAAAACTGCATGAGAGGATTCACACTGGAGAGAAACCTTACAAGTGTTCACACTGTGACAAGAGATTCAGTCGGTCAGGAGCTCTGAAAACACACGAGAGGATCCACACTGGAGAGAAACCGTATCACTGCACTGCATGTGGGAAGTGTTTCAATCATTCATCTTCTCTACACAGACATACAAAAAACATTCACAGTAAGTAGATCATCTTCAGATCCAGCACTTTCAGATCTGATGCTGCTTCCTCACCAAATGTGACACAATAATGCATCAAGCAGTAAAATATCATCTGAATAAATCTGTCATTACAAGTGACATGACAGAAACATTATCTAAAGTTTTCACAGTGAATAAAGTTCATCTTCAAAACCAGCAGATTCAGTGAGATTCAGATCAACTCAAAGATGGAGTTCCTCCACAAAAAAACAATGTCAAAAAGTTGTATTCTTGTATTTCATTTTGCTTCATGATATAAATTAGCTTCATGATATCATTGTGCTTTCTTATGGGTTTCATATTATGTTCAATATGTTTAATAAGCAGGACTGTATGAACAGTAACACCATTAAAACCTTACTGATACCCATCTCTACTTGTAAGTCAGTAGGAGAGAGAGATCCAGCTCATTTTTGTATTTGCTCTGAGTAATTATTGATTAAATGTTATGTTTTTTATTAATACGTTATCTTTACTGTTATTGTCTGCTGATTGTATTTGAATCAGGAAAAAGTAATTTTATAATTTTTGTTTTAATATCTAAAAGCCATGAAGTATTATAATTGCTTTTTGGGCTTTTAAATTTCTCAATAAAGCTTTTATTTGCCTAATTAACTATTTTACTCCACACACGACTGAGACTGAGTTTGTCTACATTAGCAACCCTTCTTCTTCTTCTTCTAGTGGTGGGCGGTCGATCCTAACATCGATAGTATCTATACCAGCGTTGGTATGGTATCAGATCAATACTAGTGTGGTGGAATGAATGTTGCTACCACAACCCCCTCTGCTGGAGAACAGGAAGAACTCTCTACGGGTTTAACTGTGTCCTTCATCGACTGGTTAATGATTGTCTTGATTGCACCAGATAAAAGCAGAGCGTGCCAGTTCCGTAGCGAGTATTCAGCTATTTTCCCGCATCTCCCGTTTTCTTTTGTTGTCTTTATTGTGTTTATTCCTTGTTTTGTGAATATTGGAGTGTTTATTTGGTTTCATTTTTTTTTTTCATGTTTACCTTTTGTGTAATTTGCGACTAAGTCTGCTGATGCAATGTAGGGTACAACGGGGCTAAAGGCGCCCCGGGGTAAAAGGCTCCTTTGAGATTATTTTCCTCTAAACCACTAGATGGCAGAAAAACTTGGCGTAGAACTTTCCAAAACATCCACTTTTCAAGATGCACGTGCAAATTTGGCTGATCCTTGACGCGATCGCGGGCAGCAGCGCAAAGTTGATTCTGTGCTTGTGTAACCCCTCCCCCCCGGGTCCTCACCACCACACCTCATTCTCGTTCTGAGTGGGTCTCCGCCATGGGAGGCGGACGCACTAACAAGGAGGCTAAAGACTGCAGCCACTAGCGTCAGTCGCTAGTGCGTCTCTTGAGATCACGGGAGTGAGGTTTATCTGCACAGCACCTACTCGCTGGCCTCCGCTACACTCACCCCCCTAACCCTCACTCCCATCCGGGTCACGGCACCAATGTAACCTTACCAGGTCCCCCCCCCACCAGATGTCTTGCGATAGGCTTGTTTTTAGTACATTTCTAACTGCATCTGGCAGTGCCGCATCCTGGCATGTGTAGGCAGCTGCCTAGGGCAGCTTTCTTCTCCTCTTTATACTTAATTTTAGGTGGTTTCTACAGCGGGATTTTAATGACAATGTTATGCGATCCATGTAATACGCGAGCACAAATCTCCACTCGCAAGTGGATTTCCTTCACTCACACAAAACTGTGTGCTTTTACCCATCTGAGGGTTGTCCCCCCTAAAATTATGATTAAAAACCACGCTGTATATTGTAAATAACAATGTTTAATACTTTAAATAATTGTGTAAGTAGTAAAACAACGCAAACGGGGGTGAGAGAGAACAAAGCCAATAGTTGTGGAACTCCAGTAAGTAAGGTTGTCAAGGCTATTTTACTAATGGAGTTTTAACTGAATGCAGTGTTTGTTTTGTCCAGAAAGACTATAAATGACGTCTAACTGAGACTGCATGTAAGGTTTTGGGGGTTTTATTAATATTTGTGTATTTTCATTGTTCTTTTGTTTTTTATCCAAGGTTTTATAGCAGTTTATTTTAATGTTTCAATGCAAGTTCATTTTGAATACAGTTTGTTAACTGTGATCTTCCGAGATGGCGCTGACGCTGATGGCTGCCTCCGTGGCGTGCTCCGCAGTTGTTTTTATGTTTTTGTTAGTTTGTCCTGTCTTTAGTTATATCCCTGCAATCAGTTTCACCAGAGACGAATTGCTGGACATTCGGAAGTACACACCACCCGATATTTCACCGGTTTTCGACTATTCTGATGTTTTGCTGGACAATGTAGTCGGGGGAGCTGCAGCGCTGATCAAGCGCTTCAGGACGCGCAGACGGGGGAAGCGAGCCGGTGCGCTCGTGAAGCTCAGACAGCGTGGATTCAGAACGCCGTTGCCTAGCATCCATCTGGCGAATCTCCGCTCTCTACCCAACAAAATGGACGAACTCCTTCTGCTCTCCCGGACAAATAAGGATTTTTCAAACTCTGCTGCTCTGTGTTTCACGGAAACCTGGCTGAAAGACGCCATTCCGGACAGCGCGTTGAGTCTCCCGGGCTTTCAGCTGTTCAGAGCAGATCGCGACGCAGAATCAACGGGGAAATCGCGCGGCGGCGGGACATGCTTTTACATCAATGAGAGGTGGTGTACAGATGTAACTGTGTTAAAGAAGATGTGCTGTTCAGATCTAGAAGTGCTCTTCATTAACTGTAAGCTGTTCTATTCGCCGCGGGAGTTTTGCTCGTTCATTCTCGTAAGTGTGTACATTCCTCCTCAAGCGCACGTGAGCTCAGCTTTACAGAAACTCTCAGATCTGATCACAGAGACAGAACAACAACACCCGGAAATTCACAGATAGCTCAATCTTGGCTTCTACAGGCCTAACCTGCCCACCACCCACCACCTTACCAAGATAGGTGACCCTGGCTTTCTCAAACTCACATTTGGCCAGGTTTATAGTAAGGTTAGCAGCGGCGAGATGAGAAGAAAGTTCCCTGATTGTGACAAGTGATCAGACCAGGTATTACTATATAAAACCACATCATCAATGTAGGCCTCACATCCATGCATCCCATATAAAACACTGTTAACAAGACGCTGAAATGTGTCCGGAGCATTTCGTACTCCAGATGGCATAACTTTATACTGTAAGAAATTGTCAGGTGTCACAAAAGCAGACAACTCTTTTGCTCGATCGGTTAAAGAACAAATTTGAGCTGAGCCAACTCTATCGACACAATCATCACACCGTGGTAAAGGATAACAGTTAGGCTTTTTAACTGCATTAAGCTTTCTATAGTCGGTGCAAAAACGATACGTCCCATCTGGCTTATTAACCAGCAGACAGGGGAGCGCCATGCACTGAAACTGGGCTCAGCAAGATCGTGAGTTAAAAGATATTCGACTTCCTTACCTAGTATTTCCCTCTTCCTAGGATTAACACGATATGCATGCTGTTTAATAGATGGTTAGGCTGTCAGTCCAGTCATATGAATGATGTGATTGTGTTGATGTGTGTCGATGGAGACGATTGAAGAGAATGTGGTTTGATTTCAGTCTCAAGCTGAGCACACAGAGCGTCAGATTAAACAGCAGTTTGAGAAGCTTCATCAGTTTCTCAGAGATGAAGAAGAAGCTACAATCACTGCACTGAGGGAGGAAGAGGAGCAGAAGAAGCAGATGATGAAGGAGAAGCTGGAGGAGATGAACAGACACATCTCAGCTCTTTCA